TGATTATAAATCAATAAAAAGTGTTAAAAAAAGGAATTAAAGGGCAAATTAAATGGCTGACTGGGGGATGCCTCACAAAATATCAGGCCCTCCTTCTTGACTTTCCTGAAGTAACTCTTAAAATATGTCAGACTTTAAATCTAGCCACCCACCCTTATGCCAATAGAAAGTCCTTAAGATTTGGCTCATTTTTGCACTGAGACCATCAAACATGCATACTCTAGCAGACCAGACCTTAGGGACCAGCCCCTCGAGGACCCTGATGCTGTCTGGTTTACTGATAGAAGTAACTACACACAGACGGTGTCCAGAAAGCTGGGTATGCTGTAGCAGACTTACATAAGATCAAAGATGCCCTGCCACCCCAGATCTTGGCACAAAAAGCTGAGCTTATAGTCCTAGCTCGAGCTCTCAGACTAGGAAAAGACAAGAGGCTCAACATCCATACAGGTTCCAAGCATGCACCTTTGGTGCCACATGCGCACGCTGCCACTGGGAAACACAGGGGACACCTGACTGCACGGGGCTCCCCAGTCCAGCACTGCCAGGAGATCTTAGAGCTCCTAGACGCAATACGAGACCCCGAGGTGGTGGCAGTGACCCACCGCCAGGGACATCAGAAGGGAAACTGGGACTTAATAACAGGAAATAATCTGACCAAGAAGCAAAGAGCTCAGCTCTTAAAACCCCTTCAACCCAAGCTGCCTGCTCCCTCATATGCCACCCCCTAGCCTGCTTTCACCAGCTCAGTATACAGACAAGGAGGTAAAATGGGCTAGGAATAGGGGACGCCAAAGGGGTGCCTGATTGCTGCTGGACTAAGGAACAAACAGTAATGCTGTCCAGGGCACTACATCGGAAAATTTTGAAGTCACTCCATGACTCTTCTCATCTTGGGAGGGGTGCTTTGACTAGGCGGATGGAGAAAGTTTTCCCTGCCATAGGCCTCCCTCAGACTGTCTTAGAAGTTACTAGTGCCTGTAATGCGTGCTACCACGACAACCCTGGGGGACACTTAGGCCCCCACCCCTCCTCCAGCCCACCCAGAGGAGAGGAACTTACCCGGGGAGGCCCGGCAGGCACACTTTACCCAGACGCCATCCTCCAGGGATGTAAATACCTCCTGGTTTTTCCTGACAATTTCACCAGGTGGGTGGAAGCCTTTCCAGCAAGGACAGAGGAATCGCAGGAGGTTATAAAGGCATTATTAAAAGAAATAATTCCTAGGTTCGGACTCCCTCGGTCTTTACAAAATGATAATGGCCCGTCTTTTGTGGCTAGGATTATGCAACAAATCTCGGCTGCCCTAGGCATTTGCTGCCACCTCCACGCTGCCTAGAGCCCTCAAGCATCTGGGAAAGTGGAAAGGGCAAACCAGACTTTGAAAAGAATCCTCTGTCAAGAGACACTGGACAAAACTTTTACCCACAGCCCTCCTGAGAATCAGGGTGGCACCTCAAAAGGACTACGGCCCCTCTGAAATGACTTTGGTAGACCCCTTTTATCTTCTGCTTTATTGGTGGACTCTGAAACCAGCGGGCTCATTAAGTACCCAGTTATTCTGGGACACGGCCAAAAGGCGACTTCGGAGTATGGAGATCAGGTTTGGCCGGCCCCCAGCCAAGAAACAGTCTGTATTCAGGTTCAGCTGGGAGACTGTCCTCCTAAAAACATGGGGAGATGGGTCCTCCTCTGATCAACTACTGCCAAGCAGAGGGGGCCTTACCAGGTCCTCCTCATCACTCCAGCTGCAGTGGAATTTCAGGGCATCACTAGTCGAGTGAACCTTCCTAGAATTAAAACTACCCCTCCCCCGGAGTCTTCCCAGGACACAGAAGACCTTGGACAACCAGAAGAGGACAACCAGGTGGACGACTGAGCCTCTTCAAGACCTGATGCTCTTGTTCAAGGAAGGACGAAGAAACTTTACCCAAGGCTGAGTACAGACAGCCACCATTTCCCCTTTGCCTTCTGGTACCCGAGCCCCCCTCAAACTAAGTGACATGCTCTGGTGGACTTGGGTTCGTATTGTCCTCCTCACGCTCCTTCTTGCTCTCAAAATCTTTTACAAGTGTCACCCTAGCTCCCTACCTTTACCTGAGAGGAATCTCTGTCTGTACTGGTTTTGATAGCACCCCTGTGAACCAATTAGAAGGCTTAAGTTTACCTCCCCAGATAAGCAGGCATCCTCACCGTTGCACATACCTCTCCCTCCACTTTTAATCCCTTTATGGCTGTCATAATGAGATTACCTTTGATTTACCTTATCCTTTCTACACTTACAGACCCTGTTTTACACTTCAGCCCTGGGAAGGGAACACCTTAATATCTCCCGAACTCCCGGAACTGAACAAACCATGCTTCTCTTGTGACTTATCTGTTCTAAGAAAAAGACAAATCAAGGCACCCGAGTGGGTCCAACCACGGCTAAACCAAACCCCATATACCCGAAGTAATTGCACTCTCCATGTTCTTTGATACAGAAGGAGATTTCTGGTGCCCCATCACCTTAAACAGTCAGGGAAAATGTGCTTATTGGGCTGGTCAAATTCCAGCCACCAGCTCTCTGCTGGGAGCCAGCATTCTTCCCTTTTTACTCCTTCTCAGTCAATGTTTTCTAGGTCAAGTTGATTTCCTCTTATCAGTGGCAAACTAAATGGCCTTATGTCAAAAGCCAAAGGAGTCCTCACTTCGCTGGGCTCAACAACTCCTAACTCTTAACAACTCAATGCCCCAAAGACTCTGTGCTCCACTAGGACGTGTTTTTAAATGTGGACACCCCTCTGGCCCCACCTCTCGACTGACACGAGCCTGCCCCTGTTTAGAAAACCCCTGGCATCAAGGGGAATGCTCCTTTGGTTACCTAATCCCCACTGCGATCATTCTCTATAAACTATCAGAACCCATTCATTAACAAAAATGAGCAATTGGACTTATTTTGGTTGGAACTGGGGCCACTACAGCAGTCCCTGCCCCTTGGGGAAGATTCATCTATCACGAGTCTGCTGTAAAAAAATCTCTCTGCTGCAGTAAGCCAACTGGCTTCCACAACTGGGGATGCAGTTGATAAGCTAAAGACCTTAGCCTCGTTGGCTAATGTGGTTATGGATAACAGACCGGCTCTAAACTACCTCTTAACCGAACAAGGTGGGCTATGTGGAGTTATTAATAGAACATATTGCACATGGACAAATCTAACCAGAGAAACAGGTGGATATAGCCAAAACACACGACCAGGCCAAATGGCTACATGACTTTGGACAGGGAGCCACTCCCCATTCAATCTGGAATGCAGTCAAGGGGCTCCTCCCATCTTTAACTTGGCTTTTATCACTCCTTTGCCCTTTAGTGGCAATAATCCTATTATTTATTTTTGGCCTATGCTTATTTAGCCTGCTTGTTAAGTTTGCCTCTTCCAGACTCCAAAAATTACATCTCCAGGTGATACTACGCAAGGATTTCAACCCATCCCACCTGAAGAAGAAGACTTTCAGCATCCACTGGACGTGGCTGCTTCCTCCTTTTATCTCTTCACTCCGACCCCGCCACTGTGAACCACCCTGAGACCCCCATCTGACAGAAAGCAGGAGATCTGGACTCACAGGTAGGGATGATGCCTATGCTCAGCTTGAAGTAGTTACCAAAGACTGACCATCAGTCCTTTTCCCCTTAAAAGGTTTTAAATGTCCAGACTCCTTGAGAGGGAAATGTTAGAGAAGGCAGGTGGCTAGATATGAGCCAAGAAAGGGTTACACGGGCCAAAAGGCCAAAAACCACACATCTTGTGAACAACAGCGGTCGTTGGACGGACCAAGAGAAACAGGAGCCTCCGCACTGATGAACAAAAAACAAAAGACAAAACCCCAAACCATACCTTCAGGGCTGACAAGTGTCCTGGAGGCAGAAGGGTGGGACAGGACCGAAATCCCCACCATCTGAAGGTAACTTTTTAGTCATTATGACCTCTGTCCAAATGTAACCTCTTGTTCATTATAACCTCATCCAACTTCCCAATCAAGACTAAATAAGGATGAAAAATCCTTCCTCCCCACCTGGGAAGCTGGAGCTGGGATGAGGATCAGGAAAGATGACCCCAAACCCCTCCCCACCAGTGAATATTCTGTGCATTCATTTTTACTCCCATATAACGAGCTTGCCAAAGATACTCGGGGCAGCTACCCACCTGGGTCTGCCTGCAGTTCCTTGAGAGCGTATATCTATCCCTTAATAAATCCTTGCTTTGCTTTCTTGACTTCTGTGTCTTGTTTCTGAATTCTTTCTTTGACAGGGCAAGAATCTATCACCACAGCAAGATTTTTGCTATTGAGTTGCATGCGTTCCTCATATATTTTGGATATTAACCCCTTTAATTCATATGTATCCACAAAAGACTCCAAGTAGCAAAAACAACCTTGAGAGAAACAAAGCTGTAAAGATGGCACCTTCTGATCTCAAACTATATTATAAAGCTATAGTGATCCAAACTTATGGTGCTAGCCAGAGTCAGGAGCCCAGAAATAAACCTGCGCGTATACAGTCAAGTAATATTCGACAAGGGAGTCAAGGATGCTAAATGGGATTAGTATATGCTCTTCCATAAATGGCGTTGGAAAAGCTGAACATTCATATACAAATGAATGAAATGAGGTTTCTATCTGAAACCACTCACAAGAATTAACTTACAACGGATAGTCTTCAATGTAAGACGTAAAACTCCTACAAGAAAACAAGGAGAAAGTTCCTTGACTTGGGCACTGGCGATGACTTTTTGAACACAACACCAAAAGCAAAAACAAGCAGAGACACAAATGATTAAGTGGGACTACATCAAACAGAAAATCTTCTGCACGACAAAAGGAAGAATCACAAAAGTGAAAAGCAACCTACGAAATGCGACTTCATTCTTTCGTAAGAAGAAATCTCGAGACATAAAAACAATCTCATTTTTTGAAAAAGGCATGCCTATAGATAGCCATACACGTGTGCAATGCAATAGTTACGTGCCAAGACATGAGCGCGCCTTGTCTTAACAGGAAGATGCTGATTGCTCTGAGAAATTTTTCTTCGCTATTTTTCTGACTTATAAGAAGAGAGCTACAGCGGTTGGGGAAGTTTGGTTTTGTTTTGTTTTATCAGGTTGTCTTTAGGAGAGATATTTGGGGGATGATACTGACTCTTTTAATTTTTCACTGGACCCTATTGTCCGTGTGAGCAATATTTAGCTAGAGGAGGAAAAAGGGAGCATTCTTCCCTGACCTATATTCTTTCAGGCTATGAGGTATGAGAAACCATAACCTGGGTGATCAGCTGGATTTTCCTGGCACTTCAGAGGGAAAATGCCAGAAAGCTTTGTGACCTCATTGTCTAAGGAGGTTTTTTTGTGGGTCTTCCCGAACGCTCAAATGTCCATGCATGACTGAAGTTCAGAACCTGCATTGGCAGGATTGCCAAGGGCTGCTGTCCCTAAATAAGATAAACAAAAAATGACATGGATGTAAGCATTATTGATCCTGATTTTGTGGACATATGCATCAAAGCACAAGGGAAGCTCCCTGGACCCTGCCTGGTGACTCATCAAAGTGGAAGAATGGATTGGTTAAGTACAGCCTTGTTTTGACTTAGTTGGGTTAGAATTATGGGAATGGGCATCTATGGACTTAGAAAAAGTGAGAAGGATCTTGGATTCAGTAAATAAGTCATTCCTTGAGCCTCCTAGCGATTAAAGAAGTAATATAGAAGAAAGAGAACCCAGCTACTGAGGTGATGGAGTGCTATTCTTAAGATGGTTGTAAGTCTCAACATTTCTGTGTTTCCAACAGGTAAGAGACTAATGGAGAAAATAAAAAATATTTGTTAACTTGGTATATAAGGACAAATTTAATAACTTAGTAAAATCATGTACAGAGTGAAAAGGTGCTGAGCCAAGAGGAGACTGAATTAGTGAAAAAGGGAAATGTTACAACTGTAACCAAGGCCCCTGACTTTGATGGGCTGTGTAATTCACGAAGGGTCCTATGCCGGTCAAATATTAGTTGACTTTATCTGCGAAAGAGACCTCCACCTTTGCTTACAGCATTATTCCATTCTTCAGGTAAGATTATTCAGTTCTGTTTAAAGGACGTCCCATCTCGCCCTTGTAACTTTGTACCCAATATCTCCTTTCTTGTTTACTTGCCAGCTAATAGATGACTCATCAGCCTCAACCTCTGTCTCCTCACCCTCAGGCTCCGTTTCATTCGCCACAGATCATGCTGGCCTGTTCTCTCTGCTCTCCTTTGCTTTGTCCTTGCAAAATTCTTCCAGGTTTCTGCTTCCTGTTTCGACCATATCTCATGGTTTGATCGAAGAGGATATTAGAGTATAATGACTCAGTCCCACAGAAATAATTTGAAAGGCTTTTTTTCTAATCTCCCTGAACTTGCTTTTAATCAGAATGCTGGCAATCCGGGGAGATGGTGGACTCAGTGTCCTCCGAAGACTATCTCTAAAGATTCAGCTCAGCTGTGAAAGCTTTAAAGGAGAAAGGGGAAGTAATCTCACTTAATCATTGAGATAGGACGTCAGAGTCCTTGCCATCCTCCACTGTACGCAGGCTGGTCAACCTCTCATGACTTTTTTTTTTAATAGACAATTTTTTTAGAGCAGTTTCAGGTTTACAATAGAATTGAGCAAAAAATACAGAGTTCCCATAGGGCCCTCCCCACCCACACGTGTGTACGCCCTCACCCCCAGCATCCCTCATCACTGTGGCATATTTAGTAAAACTGATGAACCAACATGGGCACAATATTATCAACCAAAGTCTGTAGTTTACATTAGAGTTGCCTCTTGATGTTGTACATTCTATAAGCGTTGACAAATGCATAATGACATGTAGCCACCACTATAGTATCATACAGAATAATCTCATTGCCCTAAAAATCCGTTGTGCTCCATCTGTTCATCCCTCTCTCCCTCCCTCTCCCCAAACCCCTGGAAAACACGATCTTTTGATTGCTTCTGTAGCTGTGCCTTTTCCAGAACGTCATTTGGTTGTAATCGTACAGTTTGTAGCCTTTTCAGACTGGCTTCTTTCATTCAGTAATAGGTCTTTTAAGTTTCTTCTGTGTCTTTCATAGCTTGATAGATCTTTTTTTTTTCACTGCACGTGTATTTTAAAATTTACATATGTGTACTGTTCATTGTTTCTAAGAACGTTTAGAGCTTTAGCTTTTTAAACTTACATAGTTATCTAAGGAATAATGCCAAGCACAAAACAAAAATTAATTCAAAAAGATACATACACCCTGCTATTAACAGCAACATTATTTATAATTGCCAAGATATGGAAGCATCCTAAGTGCACATCAGTATTTGAATAGATTGTACACAGTTCATTCTTGAGATTACGGAGGGAGAAGATAGGGAAGAAGTCTGGTCATCTGTTAATTACTTATTCTTCTTTCCTACCTTTTTGATCTACAAAAAAACAACAAACAAACAAAAACCTACCAATTAGGCAAAGCATTATGTGATCAAAAGAGTTGAAAGTGGGGTGGGCTGATTTGAAAGTTAGTTACAATGTTGTTAAAGTGACAGGCAAAAAGGATTTCCTGCTGAAGGTGGTTTCTTGCGAAGAGCTGTTTACAATAGTAGCCCTTCGTGGGTCATGAAGGCTCTTGAAAAGAAATTAGAAGTACTTTCTCCCTCCCCTTCTCTCTACTTGCTTGATTTAGATATGTTTTAAACCATTTCTCCGGCAACATGCCCACCTCCCTCCAAATATACAACTCAAAGTTTTCAGTAATGAGAGAACCAACTTGCCATCCGTTCGTTGGGAAAGAATAGGTTCTTGCCTCGCGCAGGAAAGAATTCAAAAGCAAGCCGTGGTAAAGTGAAAGTAAGTTTATTCAGAGAGATAACACACTCCTTAGACAGAGTGCAGTCTGCCTCACTCAGAAGGGAAAATGGCTTAGGAGATACACGCTCCACAGACAGAGTGAGAGCATCTGAGAAGGTGAGAGCTACAGAGGAGGCCCACGAGGTGTGGGCGTGGTTAGGTTTTATGGGCCCGGTAATTTCACATGCTAATGGGTAGGAGGATTGTTCCAACAACTTCAGGGAAGGGGTGAGAATTTCCAAGAAATGCTCCCCGTCCACTTTTTGATCTTTTATGGTCAGCCTGGGAACCGTCATGGTGCCTGTGGGAGCACCATGAGGCTCAAGGTCCACAGGAAGTCAGACCTTCTGCCGTCTTGGTTCTAACCAGTGTGTCCTTCCTCAATGGCTGTGTCATTCCTTCAGTGGTTGTGCCCTGCCCCCTTTCCTCCCACTTCACCTTCTGCATAAGCAAATTGTCATTCTTTTTCCTGCCTTTTAAAATTAAAAATCTTGGAAAAGTTTCTCATAGTCTTCACTGTGCCAAACCCAAAGACGTTTTGCTTCATGAAAGATACTAAATACTCCCGGCAGTAGTTAGGGTGACAGGTGTAAAACAGGGTACTCGGTACAACAGCTTTCCACAACTTAAAACACTGTTCCCTTCTGATTTTCCACCTCCCATGGCTCCTAACCTGGCCCACATTCTACCTCTCCAGTCTCAACTTCCATCCCACTTTGCACAACTCCAGATGCTTCAGCTGCTCTGGGATTCTTCTAGGAGAACACATTTACTCTCATCTCAAGGGCCTTGTACTAAATCGATACTAAGACCCAGATGGCTTGCAACGTACCTTGCCAGTGGGAGACTCGGTTTGTAAAACAATTTAGGTCAAAATTTAACCTGAAGTTCTTGAGCTTATCAGTTAATTCATTTGTTCATGTCGCTCGACAGAACCTTTGAGTAACTACTGCCAAACACTATTTTTCACCTTGAGCAAATGTAACTTTAAAATAAGACTCAGATGGATTTTAGACTCTAGGGGAGAT